TCTATGATGAGTAATATAGAGATACCTCAAAGAACTAAAAGTAGACCTACCAATTGATCCAGAAGTCCCACTACTGGGTATTTACCCAAAGGAAAAAAAGACATTTTATAAAAAATACACTTGCACTTGAATGTTTATAGCAGCACAATTCACAATTGCAAAGATGTGAAAACAACCCAAGTGCCCATCAATACATGAATAGATTAATAAAATGTGGTATGTATATACCATGGAGTATTACTCAGCCATAAAAAATGGTAAACTGATACCTTTTGTAATAATCTGGATGGAACTAGAGACCATCATTTTAAGTGAACTATTGCAAGAATGGAAAAACGAAAACCACATGTACTCACTACTGAATTGGAACTAATAGATCAACACTCATATGCACATATGGTAGTAAAATTCAATGCAAATCAAGCAGGTGGGAGGGGTGAGGAGGGGATGAGTAAATTCACACCTAACAGGTATGATGCACACTACCTGGGTGATGGACACACTTATAACTTTGACTCAAACTGTACAAAAGCAATTAATGTAACCAAAATGTTTGTACCCCCATAATATTCTGAAATGTTTTTTAAAAAGTGAAGAAACAACCCACAGAATGGGAGAAAATATTTGCAAACTACCTATCTAGCAAGGGATTAATAACCAGATTATATAAGGAGCCTAAACAACTCAATAGCAAAAACCCAAATAATCCAATTAAAAAATGGACAAAAGACCTGAATAGATGCTACTCAAAAGAAGACATACACATGACCAATAGGTTTATGGAAAAATGATCAACATCACTAACCATCAGAGAGATGCAAATCAAAACTATAATAAGATATTATCTCACCCCATTTACACTGACTTTAATCAAAAAGACAGGCAATAATTGGATGCTCGCAAGGATGTGAGGAAAGGGTACCCCTTATTTACTGTTGGTGGGAATGTAAACTACTACATCTACTATAAACAACAATTACAGAGGTTCCTCGAAAAACTAAAAATAGAACTACCATATGATTCAGCAATTTCGCTACTGAGTATATATCCAAAGGAATGGAAATCAGTATATTGTGAAGACAGCTGCACTCTCATGTTTGTTGCAGCACTGTGAACAATAGCCAAAATATGAAATTAACCCAAGTGCCCATCAATGGATGAATGGATAAAGAAAATGTGGTGTATATACACAATGAAATATTATTCAGACATAAAAGAGAATGAAATTCTTTTTCATTCTTTTCATTCATGTGATTTACAGTAACATGGATGGAACTGGAGGTTATTATAATATATTTAGTGAAATAAGCCAAGCACAGAAAGATAAATATCACATTTCTTACACATATGTGGGAGATATAAAAATAGATCTCATGAAGATAGAGAGTAGATTGATGGTTAACAGAGGCCAGGAAGTGGGGGGCAGGATGAAGAGAAGTTGATTAATGGGTATAAATATATGGTTCAATATAAGAAATTAGACTTAGTATTAGATCATTAGGGTGGGTATAGTTTACAACAATCTGTTTTATGTTTCAAAATAGCTAGAAGAGAAGAATTGGAGTGGTTCTAGCATAAATAAAAGACAACTATTTAAGGTGATGGATATCCCAAGTACACTGATTTGATCTTTAGAAATTATATAAATGTATTAAATAATCACATGCACCCCAAAACTATGTATATTTATTAAGTATCAGTAAAAAATAAATATTTTTTAAAAATGAGCAGAAATCTGAACAGGTCACCAAAGAAGACATTCAGATGGCAAATAAGCATATGAAAAGGTGCTCAATGCCATATGTCATTAGGGAACTGCAAATTAAAACAACCATGAGACACTACTACACATCTATTAGAATGGTCAAAGTCCAAAATGCTGAAAACACCAAACGATGGCAAGAATGTGGAGCAACAGGAACATGCTGGTGTGAATGCAAAATAGTACAGCCACTTTTGAAGACAGTCTGTTAGTTTCTTTGAAAACTAAACATGTTCTTACCATATGATCCAGCAGTATGCTTCTTGGTATTTACCTAAATTATATGAAAACTTAGGTCCGCACAGAAACTTGCACATGGATATTTATAGCAACTTGCCAAAACATGGAAGGAACGAAGATGTTCTTTTATAGGTGAATGTATAAACTGTGGTATGTTCTGACCATGGAGTATTATTTAGCACTAAAAATAAATGAGCTAGCAAGCCACTGAAAGTCATGGAGGAACCTTAAATGCATATATTACTAAGTGAAAGACACCAATCTGAAAAGGCAAATAAACAAATTACTGTATGATTCCAAGTTTATGAGAGTCTGGGAAAAGGCAAAACTATGGAAACAGTAAAAAGATTAGTGGTTGCCAAGGCTGGAGAAAAGGAGGAATGAATGGGCAGATTTTTAGGTAGTGAGTAGAATAGAGAAGTTTTAGGTAGTGAAACTATTCTGTATGATACTGTAATGGTGGGTAAATGTCATTACCCATAGAATACACAAACCCATTCATCCAAACCCACAGAATGTACAACACCAAGAATAACATATTGTAGTGTAAGCTATGGACTTTGGGTGATAATGAGTGTCAATAGAGGTTAATCAACTGTAAAAAATGTATCGTTCTGGTGGGGCATGTTGATAGCAGGAGGGGCTTTGAGTATGTAGGGGCAGAGGGAATATGGGAACTCTATACTTTCCACTCAATCTGCTGTGAACCTAAAACTGCTCTAAAAAATCCCGTCTATTAAATCATTTTCTCAAAAAAACAGGCATATATTATATATATGGTAAGATGCAATATTTTCCTTTTTTAAAGTCTTTTGATTTTGATTTGACTAAAATTAAAGAATCTTGTCTTGTACTTAATTTCCTTCAATAAACAAATAGAGGGGAAATTTTGTAAAATAAAACTGCATTCAAAGGTCAGGTTTTATAATTTATTTCTACTTTTGTATGAGTAACAAAGAATTCTTTGAAAATGTATTCAGTGAGTAGTCATTACCTATTAAATTATATTTCTGAAATTTAATTTCATATTCAAACTCTACATAGTCTTATTCCAGTGAATATCCAAGTCAGCAAACATTTTTTGAATGCCTGTTAGCTCGAGGTGTTGGAAAAAAATAGTTGAGTTTAAATCTCAAGGTTTGTTGCCCCTTGTTGATGATGTGACCTTGTGTAAGTTATTTAACCTCAGAACCACAGTTTCTTCTAGAAAGTGGGATAGGAATATTAGAAATGGAAAATGGAATACAGAATGCACAGGTTTGTACGGCAGATATCTGTGGTTATTGTCTGCCTTGCCCACCCCATCAGCCATGTTATTCCCTGTGCTGTCAATCACCCGCCATAAGAATAGGCACCTGATGAAAGTTGGTAACTTAGAGTAATCTGTGCTCCTGGACACATTGACCACAGTAGGAACAGAGTACTTGTTCGGTACTGACAATGATCTTGAAAGGGCTTTTTTGTAGGAATTGTTGAAACTAAAGATGTTTCTAGTCCTCGAACCTTCACATGGACAGAGCCTCTCTGAGAATAAGGCCTATAGAGTGAGAATTTTGTCTCTCTCCTGGACCAAGAAAAAGGCTAGGGATATAATTTTATCTCTCCTAAGCTAAGAAGTGAGCTGGGTATATATTAGGCCCATAATAAATATTTGTTGAATATTTTCAGAATGAATGAAAACACTTTTAGAAGGGAACGTTGTTTCAGGCAATTGTGTTTTTTGAAGAATGAGCCTTCTCTGTCTTTGAAAAACAGTGAACAGATTTTAATGTGATAATTTTAAGCCCGACTAAAATTTGGGCTCGGCATTTAATAAGATTTGGAGACATTTTCAGATTGGTCATGAAGGATTACTGGGGAAGAACAGAAAAGAATTGGATTTTGGTATGACAGGGAACAGAATACAGGCAAGGAGCATAGGAGACAGGGTGTAGGGAGGAGGTCTGTTTTGACAGGCACCTGGTGCTAGAAAAATAGTCCCAGTGGAACTACTGTCAGCGAGGTGCCAAAGGTACCAAGAGAAAACTATTAAACAGGCAAGAATCAGGTGTCCAGTAGTCTAATTGAATTAGAGCCTTGAACGGCACAGCTCCCTGTCTCTGTATGAGTGGGGGGCATCCAAATATCTATCCTGAGCTTGGGCCAATTGATCATCCAGTTTTCATGAGAATAGGAACTCTTCCTTGTCTACTTCAAGCACCCTCTCCTTGCCAACTATGAAGATGCCTGTTCTGTTCTACAAGGCTTTGATCTACTGCCATCATGCTACTCCATGAGCATAGCTCCAGGACAACCAGGTTTGAGTTAATAGAGAGCAATTCAGAGTACCTCAGGCTGGCATGGTGTGGGGTGGACATCTCTGTTACATCCATTGTATAGATGAGAAAACTGAGGATCAAAGCAATCAAATAACCTGCCCAAGATTTTAGCTTATGTATGACAATCTATGCTCAAACTTGGCTGTTACTTCAAAATCCATATTCTTTCCACTTGACCTGGTGACTTTTCTGCTCCTCTGCTAATTCCCAGTGAGGAAGAAGTCTGTAAGACCAGAGAGCCCCAGAGGCTGCTGCATTACTAGAGAAAGCCCCTGCAAGAATGGGAGGAGGGAGGAGGTCCCTTATCTGACCTTTGTGCTTGGGTGAGGCTATAGCACCTGCAAAGCAGGTACTGGCCCATGCAAAACCAGAGGGATGCTTTGGCCCTAACGATCCCCTCTGCCCAGCAAGATCAGCAACCTCAAGATTACAAATATGAGGCTTATCATTTGATTTTTTTAAAACTTTATGTTAAGAAATCTGTCTCTGCTTCTCAGCTAAATTATAGGCTCATAGAGGGCAGGAACTTTCTACAGTTTTGTGTCAAGCTTTTATTCAGGGCTATATTATACATTAAAAATTATTAATGCTGGTTAATGAGTGCTTTTAAAACTTCTTAGGCTATATGGCCCACAATTTTTTTAGAAAATTAAGAACTTTGTTAACAAAGAATATTTTACCTCATCATTGTAAGTTGTAACAGTCACAAACATTCCTAATCCAGGAGCAGACTCAAGGAAATCATGTCTGCCTATGTCCCATTGCTGTATCTTGAAAGTCCCTGTTTCAAAAATATAAGATAAGACATTATTATAAAATGCAGTAAACAGTAATAGATGATTATTGCTCAATTAAATGAATTTACCTTTCTCAATCTATCTAAGTTACAAACTACTCTTTAACTACTACTCTAGTTTGAACAGCTATATTTTGATGGTTAGGTCAACTAACAGAAGAGGAAAACTTTGGAATAGAGAGGAAGGCTTGGGTTCTTGGTTTGGTTCTCACTCTTGTTGACTAAGTGACTTGACAAGTCACTTCACCACTCTAAGCTTCAGTTTCCTATTCAGAAAAATGGGGATAATACTGTTGAAAATAAGCATATGAAAGGTTTCCACTTAGAATGTAAACTAGATTGTAAACACCATGTAGGTCAGGACTAAGTGATATAAATCCTAGAGCTTTTCCAACATCCCCCCAATAGTTCTCCTACCTTTAATTTTTTATTCCCACAATGTAATCCCATACACTTCTGTTAGAATTCCCTCCTAAGACATAGGTGTGGTCATGTCGAATCTTCCATTTCATTGTCTCCAGAGGCTCTTACTCAAGGTTGGATCACTGAAAGAGCCTCCTTTCAGTGATCACTTTCTCCTTTTAGTACATGGTAGCTATCATATAGCTTATCTTCACTTTTGTAACTTTGAAAGGTACAATGGAAATGAAATCTGTATTAACACCCTCGAAATAAATGGGAAAATAGTCTCAGCAATAAAATAGAAAATATAAAAAGAACAAAATGAATACATCAGAACAGGAAAAATACAATATTTAAGAATAAAATACAAAAAACATTTAAAAAACTCATTATTGAGTGGACTCAATAAAAGAATGGAGATGACAGAGGATAGAGTCAGCAAAATTGATAAATAGAAATAATCCAGTCTGGAAAATGGAGAGAAAATAGCTTTAAACAAAGCCTCATGGGCCTGTGGGACAATAATCAAAGGTCTAGAATCTGTGACACTGGAGCCTAAGAGGAGAGAAGAAAAGGTTCAGGGTTGAAAAAAGATTGGAGGAAATAATGGCCAAAACCTCCCCAAATTTGGTAAAGGACATAAACCTACATATTCAAAAAGCTTAGTATAACCCAAATAGGATAACTGCCCCCCCCATCCATCCCCACATACATCACAATCAAATTTCTCAAAACTAAAGATAAGAAAAATATCTAGAAAACAGCCAGAGAGAAGTGACACATTACTGATAAGGCAACAACACTTTGAATGGCAGCAGATTTCTCACCAGAAGAATGGATGCCAGCAGGCAGAGGCTCATTTTTCAAGCAATGAAAGAAAATAATAATCAAATGGAACTCTATATACATCAAAAATATCTTTGAGGAATGAAGGTGAAATATTCTTAGATCAAGTAAGACCTTAGTTCTCTTAAGAATTTTTTAGCAGAACACCTGCTTTAAAGGAATTGCAGATGCACACGTGCCTGGCTTTTGGCCAGAGCTCTGCCTTCCAGCCGGTTGGAATGGCTGCCCGACAGGCTGCTGCCCTTCATGAGCAATAAAGCTCTCCTTTTCCAAAATAAAATACAATATGAAATAAGATAAAAATAGCTAAAGGAAGTTCTTCAAACAGAAAGGATATGATTATGGAAGGAAAGGTGGAACACTGGGAATGAAGAAAGAACAATGACTTTTCAATGTAAATATCTGGGGAAGCTATAATAGACTATTATCCTTCTCTATTTTTAAAATCATTTGACAGTTTAAGAATGTTTAACAGTAAATGGAGAAATAACACCATTGTCTGACGTGCTTTTCAATGTATGTAGACACAGTTGTACTATAAAGGGGAAGGGCAAAGGGACTTAAGTGGTGTTAGGATTTCTGAATTTCTCTTGAGATAGTAAAGACTGATACTAACTAGTAGACTGATAAATATGTGCATGGTAATCTCTAGAGCAACTACTAATAAAAAGTATAAAAAGAGATAAGTGAAAACCACTATAGGTAAAGCAAAATGGAATATTACAGAATGGTTAAGTGACCAATAGGAAGGCAGGGAATAGAAAATGGGAACAAAAAACAGAATGAGTGAACAAAAAGAAAACAATAAAATAGCAAACCTAAATCCTGACAGCAATAATTATATTACATGTAAATGGTCTAAACAGAGATTAGACAAAGATAGTCAGAATGGATTTTTATTTTATTTATTTTATTTTTTATTTATTTATTTTTTTGAGACAGAGTCTCGCTTTGTTGGCTAGAGTGAATGCCGTGGCATCAGCCTAGCTCACAGCAACCTCAAACTCCTGGGCTCAAGCAATCCTACTGCCTCAGCCTCCCGAGTAGCTGGGACTACAGGTATGCGCCACCATGCCCGGCTAATTTTTTACATATATATTAGTTGGCCAATTAATTTATTTCTCTTTATAATAGAGATGGGGTCTTGCTTTTGCTCAGGCTGGTTTTGAACTCCTGACCTCCAGCAATCTGCCTGCCTCGGCCTCCCAGAGTGCTAGGATTACAGGCGTGAGCCACCGCAGCTGGCCCAGAATGGATTTTTAAAATGACCCAATTATAATGCAGTCTATAAGAAAATCACTTTGAATATAGTGCCATAGGTAGGTTAAAAGTAAAGGATGCAAAAAAGACATACCATTCTGAAATAGATTTTTAAAAAGCTTAAGTGGTTTCAGAGCAAAGAAAATGTTCTAGTGGTTTCCCTTTTTGGCATTCTGAGGGACAAAAAGAGACATTACATAATAATGAAGGTGTCAGTTCACCAAGAAGACATAACCACCCCAAATTTACCAAACAACAGAGCTCCAAAATGCATGGAGTAAAACTGACAGAACTTAAAGGAGAAATACACAAATTCCTAATTTTAGTTAGTGCGTCAACACTCCTCTCTCAGTACTTGATACAACCACTAGACAGAAAACCAGCAAGGATATAGAAGAACTGAACAGCATCCTCAACCAACAGGACCTCCTTGACATTATAGAACATTTTCTCTAACAGCAGATTGCACATTTCTTTTAAAGTGCACACCGAACACTTTAAAACACTTTAGGGTAACAAAGTCCTAAGGGAGGTTAGGCACCTTTACTGAAAAACAGCTGAATGTTCATGGACAAAAGCACACAGCCAAGATGACTGATCACTTTCCAAATGTATGACCACCTAGAAAGCTCTGTCATGCATGTCTACCATTCTCTACAACAACTGGTTCCTGCTGTGTCTTTCCTCCTGAGCCTCTTCCAGCACCTCCCACCCTGACCCTCACCCCTCAGATGGTTACCTTGCCTTGTACGGCAACAGTAGGGGTCTCCATCTGCTAACCCCTAAGGGTTGAATGTCCCCTCCAAAACTCAGATTGAGATTTAATTGCCATTGAACCAATATTAAGAGGTGGGGCCTTTAAGAGGTGATTAGGTCCTGAGGGCTCTACCCTCATGAAGGAATTAATGCCATTATCCAGGGAGTGGGTTTATCATAAACAAAAGGAGTTTGGCCCACTTCTCTGTCTCGTGTGCTCACTTGCCCTTCTGACATGGGATGACCGTCACCAAATGCCAGCGCCATGCTCTTGGACTTCCCAGCCTCCAGCAGTATGAGCTGGATAAACTTTTCTTTATAAATTACTCAGTTTATAAATTACATCCCAACAAGAGAAAGACAGAAAGGGTAATAAGTGTCAGGAGGTTAGGACACTTACCCTTTCTTCTTTTCTCTTGTTGGTATGTTGGGAGTTCTGCCAGTGGCTACCCTGCCTTATTTTTCTAGTACTTTACTCTGGTTGCTGGCCCCCACTTGCCCACATTCGGCTATTCTTGTCAGCATGCCAACATGTTCCCTTTTCTACATTCTAGGAGTTATTAGAGAACAGGACACGTTTTTATTCCTCTTTCTTTGGATCTCTGGAGCCTGGCAATAAGCCAGGGCAGTGTTTGGCTCTGCTATAGAGGCCTATTAAATATTTGTATAATAGAATGAATGAAAGTATGTCCCATAGTACATGTTCAAAAAGTGATTTTGAATAAAAGAGTGTCAGTTGGGCCCGCATTAAAGCTCCGTTGTTCCTGGAATACTGCCTAAGTTACCGTAGGGAACAAGGGTAATTTCTGCTTGATTTTTGCCATGATCCTCCGACCCTAAGTATGTGCTCCTTCCCCTCTGTAGGGAGAGAAATGGAAGGAGGTGTCATGCCCGGTGGATGCCACCAGGTGGCAGAAGAGAAGCATTGCTCCTGGGCCGAGCCAGCGCGAGAGCGTCAGAACGTGTGCACGGGATAGAGGTGTCTACTCAGAGTGCAGACGCTCACAGGACAAGGTGCCTTGTAATCTCCCCACTTCATGGCGAAAGAGCTGGCAGGGTTCACTGGCTATGAACAGAGATTCACCTTCCTAGCTGTGGCGCCTTGGGCAAGACACTGAACCACTCAGTTCCTGTTTCCGCATCAGTAAAGCAAGGATGAGGATGGTATATCTCTGAGGACATGAAGAATAATGAGTTAATATTTGTACACTATCTAATACAGAGCTAAGCACATTGTAAGTTCTATGCAAGTGCCTGATAAATAATTTACATTATTATTCGGCTTTTAATGTGCAATGCATTTTTTCCTATAAGGTCTCCCATTTAATCCTATATACAACCCTGTAAAGTAGGCATAATACTCAGTTGTACATATGAGGAACCCGAGGCCTGAAGAGGCTAAGTGACTTATATAAAATAATCCAGAACCAAGATTAAAATTTCTCAGTGGCTCACGCCTGTAATCCTAGCTCTCTGGGAGGCCGAGGCGGGCGGATTGCTCAAGGTCAGGAGTTCAAAACCAGCCTGAGCAAGAGCGAGACCCCGTCTCTACTATAAATAGGAAGAAATTAATTGGCCAACTGATATATATATAAAAAAAATTAGCTGGGCATGGTGGCACATGCCTGTAGTCCCAGCTACTCGGGAGGCTGAGGCAGAAGGATTGCTTGAGCCCAGGAGTTTGAGGTTGCTGTGAGCTAGGCTGACGCCACGGTA